AAATGTGTAGCTATAGTCATTTTCATCAATTTTGTCAAAATTTTGTCAAAATAAGCTATGTTGGAATGACCATTTATATAATTAGGGTCCCTCAACTCATCAAAGTGTATAATTATGGTTCTTTTCGTCAACTATGTCAAAAAATTTGTCAAAACGAGTTATATTGTAAGGATTATTGCTACAATTGGATTAAAGTTAAAGGACCATTTCTCCACTTGAATTAAAGTTCAGGGACCAATGGTAATGGATTTTTAGTTGAGGGACCATAGCTGCACGTTTTGATAAGTTGAGGGACCAAAGGTAATGGATTTTTAATTGAGGGACCATTGCTCCAATTGAGTTAAAGTTAAGGGACCATAGCTACAATTTACTCTTGTATATATGTAGTTGTCGTTGGTAAAGTGCGAAAAGGAGACTCAATGGAATGGAGGCGCAAAAGAGTGAGAGCGACAGACACGACGTGCCGAGCTGTCGGGCTGTGATTGTGAGGAGATATTTACATGCCATTAGATTGTGGCGTCACGGTAACGGTCTTTTGAGTTTACCACGTGTCAAAACGTTATTATTTTATCGCATCATAATAATAAGTGATTGGTTTGAAAACTAGGGATGGGTTCGGTACGGTTACCGTACCAAAACCCTTGTACCAATTACCGTACCAAACTTTCGGTTTGGTAAAATCTATTACCATTACCGTACCAAACTTTCGGTATACCGAAGTTCGGTATTGCCAAAAGTTTGGTTGGCATGGTATGGCAATGGTAATTGCCATTTTGTTTTGGGACAAAATATGTTTTTGTTTTTTAACCCAATTCAAGGGCAAAACTTTTTTTTTTTGTACCTTTATCTCATACATTATAGATTAAATTCATCTATTATTCATCATCCACAATTCACACACATAATAATTCAAATGAAGCATCAAAATTCATCATGAAAATTAAGCTTACAATCCAAATAAAAGTTACGAACCAAAACAAATAGAAGTTAACAATCCAAATAGAAATTAAAGTTTTCAAACCAAATGAAAAATTGGAAGTAAACTTCAAAAAGGAGAATTTCATTGATCAGTTATTCAAGCTTGAGATGTCGAAGCTTTTGGAGGAGGCATTGAACTTGTAGAAGATTGAGTTTGTGTCAAGCTTACATTACAAACAAAGAAAACATATTAATTAGTAGCAAGAAGAATTAAAGTTGAAAACCATTTAATAACAAATTTACTAAAAAAATTAAAGCATATCTTTCTTGTTTTCTCTTCTTCTATTTCCTTGTAAAATTGAAGCATATCTTCCGTTGGTCCTTGTAGAAGTTTACTTCACCTGCCCTAAGCCAACCACTAGTACACACTAGTGTCTCAATTATTTTAGGAGTCAAGGATACCCTAAAAGGGTCACAACCCTCCTCCCTAGACTAAATACATTTTCACAAGCAACAGTAGAAGTGGGGGTTACAAAGATATTTTGGCTATTTGTGAAAGAATTAGGAACTCTTTTGTGTTTGATTTCCACAATTTTAAAAGATAAAAGTCACCAACAACAATGCTAATATAAGTAGGGTTTTATTTTCAAATTATTGGAATATTATAAATATGTGTTATATAATTATGTATTATATAAATTATAAATTATAAATTATATTGTATTTTCGGTATGGTATGGTAATACCATGGTAATGATATCCATTACCAATACCGTATCATGAAATTTCGGTACGGTACAATACTGTACCATTACCGATTGGTACAAAAAATTTGGCACAAAATCGGTATGGCACGGTTGGCAATTCGGTTGGCACGGCAATTTGGCAAAAAAATCTACCCCTATTGAAAACACATGACGGTAATAATATGGAGGGATTCTTTTAGTTGCACTTGAATTTGTCGTAAACTAAGAGAGATTCTTACAGCCACTTAGTCTAGTGATATTTCTCTTTGATTATATGTGAGAGGTCTTAGGTTCGATTATTGTCAAAGACGAATTTGAATCATATTATTGCAAGTTCATTATGAATAGATAATATTGGTTGTTCAAAAAATAAAAAAGATTCTTACATACAACCAACAAATTTTGACATGTCAACTATCCTGACTCGGTTTTAGATCTAAGGATTTGCCGTAAATAAGGGTAACTAACATGTACCTCCAAATGGTTTTTTAGATTTCATGCTTGAGATCATTTTTCCAAACCGTTTGTTGATTTCATGATTAATTATTCTCTTGTTGGTAAAAAAAATATCCAAAAATAATAATTAGATGACGACTGAATTCTCTTTATTATAATTTATAATATAGACATTGCAAGTGACCCTTTATCATAGTGTTGAAGAGGAGTATTGCCGTTGCACCACAATGTAGGTTCGAATCCTGTCGGCTACCTAAGTTAACATATCGAAAAAACACACACACACAGACATTTCACATTTTAAGGCAACTAAAAATTTCCATTACACAAAAATAATCAACTTGGAGATCAAGAAAGCTCTACTTCGAAATTCGAACCCTAATACTCTTCAGCAAGCACGGCGCATCGTTTTAATGTCAAATCCTTCTTGGAACTGTAACCCTTCTGCAATTTAACCATCGCCATTGCTGTAATATTTTTCACCTCAATACAGTTGACAAAATCTTTTCTCGCTTTCTTCATGATCAAGCTTTCCTTTCGCTTTCGGACGGGACCATCGTCGCCACCGCAGGAGCTGCCGGAGTTACTTCCTTTGTTGCTTGATGACGACGGAACCTCATCCTCGCTTCTTTTTCTTTTGTTCCTTGACGATGACGTAACCTCTGTCTCTTTGCAAACAACAACTCGCCGGCTTTGTTTTCGCAAAGCTTCCTCTTTATACCGCCTCTTCAACCTCTCGGCAGCCTTCTTTTCGGCCTCGTCTCCTTTGAATCGAACAGCTCCATCCATCTGTACCTTTCATTCTCCTTCATCCTTTTGCTCGCCGCATCAGTCATTAAAGGCCCGAACTTCTGTTCGTAGAATTTCCGCCACAACTTGTCGGTAACCGGACTCAAATCTCTACCTCCGCTACTCTTCTCTACTTGCCTCAACTCCCCGACCGTACATTGTGGAAGGATTTTCTCCAGAACACTGAACTCTATGTCGCTAACATTACCACCGTTGTGGCGCAGTAAATCAGCAACCATAGACGGAGGAGCTGCTGCTTTCGCTTCCACGTCCATCTCTCTCTGTGCTCACAATTAAGAGTAATTGAAGGTCTGAAAAATAGTATGCAGTGTTGCGTTCATATGCTTTAATTTATAGGCAATTAATGATCAAGTGCGGTTTCCTTTTCCTGTTGGGAATAGGAAATCCTATTAAAAGGTGCTTGTTTTAACTTTTATGCAAGTGATCTTACGTACGGAAAGGGATCCTCTCTGCATCCCTTCCTCCTAATCCACCAAATTCAGAGATCCGGACCATTGAAATTTGATCCAACGGCTAAAGTTATTATAACTTTTAGAGTGGGCCCCTATTTGTAGTCGTTAGATCAATTTTCAACTGTCCAGATATGGATTAGGAGGAAAGGATCCTAGGATCCCTTTCCCTTACATACAAATACAATCAATAGATTTTGACGTGTCAATTACCCCGACTACATCTAAGAATTTACGGGAAATTAGGAGCAACGGACATGTATCGAACAAAGTTTCATTATCTATTTATTATTATTTTTTTATACAAGCGATATTCTAATTAATTCGATCTAAACTACAAAGAGAGAGATTCAAACTTAAGTGTATATAGAAAAACATGATGCTCTAATGAAAGAATTTCCAAAATTGACAAGGGAAGGATCATGGTTGGGTAAATAATCCGGTTTCCTTTTCCAGTTGGGTAAAAGGGATCTCCAAGACTGACAAATAATCCTAGTTTGATTAGGAAATCCACACACCAAATTTTTTATAGGTACCGAGAATACAAGTCACGTTGTCTCATATTTCAGGTCTTATAAATATATCATATACTACTTTGAACAACTAGCTATTGATTTCTTCAATCTTTGTTTTGTTTTTACTCTTTCTTTCTCTGGAAGTCTTTTGAGTATTTTTCTTCTCGTTAGACTCTTACCAACAAAGTTACAATGCAGAAAGAAGGAGCAAAGAGGAAGGCCAGCCGGAAACCTACTCGGCCATTGCGAAAGCGGATCAAAGCCTCCAAACCGAAACTGGAACGCGAGCACTTGGTGGAGGAGCCGCGACAACTGAAAGACCTATGGAAGGCTGTGTTTCCTGTCGGAAAAGGCTGGGACAGGATGAACTCCGTGCACAAGGAGTTCAACTGGGATTTCTTCAATCTCGAACGCGCATTTGAAGAGAAGGGAAAGCTGAATCATGAGGTCATTGGTAACAAGGACAAGGTCTATCTGTTCGGCACAATCGAATGTCATTTTCAGAGGAAGAATGAATTTGTAGTCCCTGTTTTGGTAACAAGGAGAAGTGACGCTTCGAACTGCACAAAGGATGAAAGTTTCCTGAAACTTCAATACTTCTTTCCATGTTTAGATGATCACGAGGAGGAAGAAGATGACTGTCAGGGTAGGAGGCGAGGAGGATGAATTTGCCAAGTTCATCATAGAGGAGACGATAGGAGGAGACGAGGAATTGTCTCCTGTTGTAAAAGCTGGCTTGAAGGAGTATGTGGAGGACATGCTATTTGATGCAAAGAGAAACCATGGCGAGAACAAAGATAGTTGCAGTAGCGTTTTTTCGTTCATCCAAGCGATACTAGGAGAGGGGAGATGCAAATGCAAGTACTCAGACGAAGGAACAAACACTCTAAAGCGCTTGAGCCGAGAAGAGGGTTTCGGAAATAGTAGGATGTACAAGTTCTACCCTGTGCAAACACCGGAAACTCCCAGACATTTCAAAAGCTAAATATCGATTCATCAACAAGCATTACGGCACGGCTCCTGAGGTTCTGTAAAACTAGATGCCAATTCCTAAAGCATGTGTTGAAGTTCAATCACTTGTTAATCAGTGCAAAGAGTCTGAAAACTTCATCAAAGACTATATCCGCGATTAAATTGTCGTTCATTAGAAGATTAAGAAGTATCTTCGCTTCGAGATCACAAATAAACGAAAGTCGATAAGTAATCTGAAATCTGTTGCTACTTAATATGATAAATCTGTCCTCATCATAAACGAAAGTCGATAACTAAATAGTAGATGGCTCTCTAAAATCCACAATGAAGGAACACTTCCTAAAGGCAAAACATGAACAAAAACTAGAACCGAAATCACTAACACTCATTTCTTCTTTGTCTTGGCAGCATCTGAAGCCTTGGTCTGCACGAAAAAAAGAACAAAATCGTTGTAAGAAGCAAGGTAATGAAATCAAACAAAAATTACGCAAGGAAATAATATAAGTCACTTCCGTACCTTCTTTACTCCTCGGATCTTCTTGGCTCTGTTCTTTCTCTCCTTCAATTGCTTTCTTGACTTCTCTACTTTAGTATCCAGTCCGTTCTGCAATATCAAAAACGTTTTTAGTGGTATGAACTAATGGAGGTTTGAAGTAGAACCGATGAGAAAAATTACTATATACTAAAAAACACAATATGAAACCAATCATGAAGAGATGGAAATAAAAAGTTGGGGGGTAACATGACCATACTTGTGCTCCCACGCTTAGTTTAGTTTGTCATTACAAGTGACGTACATATCTACTCATGCTCAACTACTAATGCACACCAGAAAAGAAAAGATAACAAGAGACACATAGGACTAACAACAAAATACCACTTAGAAGATACATTGATAAATCCGACCAATTAACAATCAACAGCTTTACAATTCTTACTGACTTAACTTAGATTAACTCATTGTGTCCTAGGGTTTATCCGTGTGTTAGTCAAATCACTTCAACATAGCTATCTATATTTCTGCCGGTGGCAATGTCCTATGGTTTAGGTAGCAAAAATGAAATTTGAATAGATGAACTTATCAGTAAAATCTGGACTTACCCTGATCAACCTGTACTTGGGCTCATACTTCTTCGCGTTTTCAACAGAGTCATAAATCAATCCAAATCCAGTAGATTTGCCACCACCAAAGTGGGTCCTGAACTTGAAAACAAAGATTGCGTTCGGATCCTTGACCTCATAGAGTCTTGCCAGCTTCTCCTTCAGCTCAGCCTTCACAAAACCAACACACCAATTCGTTTAATTAGTGAGCAAGCTCATAATTCACATTATTGCTATCCATTACGAGAAATTAAAAAAAAAAAGTCATTTCAAAACAGTTATTTTACAAGCTCTAGTTCTTCGTTAAACACAATACCATTGATTGAACAAAACATACTGAGACAAATTACGATAAATAAATAGCCGAAAAAGTTCTGTAACCACACCTTGGAAACATTTGGCCTGCCTGGATGAAGAACATCAATGACCTACATGGAACAAAAGCAAAAATTGAATTACGATTAACCCCGTAAGAGAAGATTATCACGGAAAGCTGACAACACGAAAATCCAACAAATCATTTCAAACTCGTATTTTTCACTGAACTCGCTTCAATCCAACATAAATTCAAGTTAAAAAAAAAAAAAAAGATCTGATCACAGATAATACAAACCAAATTATTAATAAAAACCCAGTTGGGTGACTCAGAATTAAGTAAAAAAATAAAAAAAGCATCCATATTTACGGTGAAAAGTCACAAAAAAAATATAATGGTAACCAAATTATAAATAAAAAACCAGTCGGATGAATACGAATTACATAAACAAAACACATATCCAGATCAAAGCATGCAACTTTAGGGAGAAAAATCACAGAACTAACGAAATAAAACAGCTTAAACATCACTAACAAGAACACTAAAAAGTTATATATATATATATATATAACCCAGTTAAATACTAGAGGCAAAAAGTAAGAAACTATGGAGGAACTCACGAATTGCTTGCGAGAGAGAAGGCGGTTGGTCATGAACTTCCTGGTTCGGATGGTGACTGCCTTGTCCGCCATGGTTGGTTTTGATTACACCGGAAGATACCTAACCAGAGGGCAATGAGGCGGAAAATGCAGTAGTAGCAGCAGCTGAGGCACACAGAGTTTGAGGGAGACGGAGGAGTTTTGATTTTATTGGATTAGGGTTTTAAGAGGATGGGTCTGGGCCGAGATACATTTAACTTTCTTTTTTAATTAAGGCCAGGCCCAAAGGGTCTAATAATTCTCGGGTCGGACTTTGACATCAAGCCCTGATTCGGGTCACACAAGAAATCAGTCCAGAATTCAATTAGGAGTGCAACTCGGAGGAGTTGGATGAACTAAAATCCCACCTATCATAACCCATTCTTATAATTTTGTTTCGAGATCGAATTTTATCAGGCTGGTAAAAATATGATCCCAACTCTCGATCAAACTCAAAACAAACTCTAGTAACACAAACACCTGAAAAATTGTACACAATTTCTTGTATCGTCAAGGAAGTGAGTTGAAATATGTACAAAATGAGTGAATATTTGTATACATACTAGACATTAAACTTGGTAAGGCAAGGCTTGAATTCAAGGAAATTATGGCCTACGACTAGCCGTGTTACTTCATTTCCATGACCAAAACACAAAAAACTTATCAAATAAGGCCATCGTTTTTAGGCAAGAGCAACTTATATAGCACGAGTACATTGTTACGTGACGTTTATACGAATAAAAAACTTATATGTGTTTTTATTTCATTGACACTAGATGCCACTATAGAAGTGTATCATGTCAGGTTAGTTCTCCTCCTAGATCCATCCGATGAGTCTTCAACCGTTGAATCTTGATCCGATCCAAATTGCACCCCTCAATCGAACATAATATAAAATAAAAGTCACGTGCAAAGCACAATCTATCTTCATCTTCATGAGTTCATCCATTAAAAGACAAAGACACGGAGGAAGAAGTTTGAGGCTGAGATTGAACGAATCAGAGAGGCCAAAGCCACGACAGCAGCTGCTATCTCCTCCCCATAAAATCCATTTCTCAAAACAAAAACCCGTCCACGCTTTTGATTTCTGAATTCCAAAAACGCTCGACTCGAAAACAGTTTTCAAATGGCGGCAACAGCTTCATTGCTCCAACCCAACCCACTGAGATGGAACAAGCGCAATCTCCTCCCCCCTCTCCGTACCCTCCCCGCAAACCCAATCAAATTCAAAAACGTCAATTTCCAAATCCAAAAACTCCCCTGCAAATTCAAAGTTCAATGCTTTAAGCAGTTACCCGAATCAAAATCTCGGTCCCTGGAAAACCCAGCACACCCAGCAACAAACCCACCAAACCCAATTGGGATTATCACTGGAAAGCTGCTGAATGCTCTGAAGGCGTTGAGGAAGCCGGCAATGGCCGCGGTGTTGTTTGGTCTGCTGCTGATGTCCGACCCGAATTTGGCATTGGCTGCATCGGGCGGGCGGGTCGGGGGAAGCTCGTTCTCGTCGCGCTCGTCGTCTTCCTCGTCGTCGTCGAGGAGTTATTCGGTGCCGAGGACTTCGAGTTCAAGGCCCGATTTTTCGTACTCCGCGCCGTACTACGCGCCTTCCCCGTTCGGGTTCGGTGGCGGGGGAGGTGGGTTTTACGTGGGGCCGGCAGTTGGGGTCGGAGTCGGAGCCGGGTCGAGCTTCTTCCTGATGTTGACGGGCTTCGCGGCGTTTGTTTTGGTTTCCGGGTTCCTTTCGGATCGGTCTGAGGGCAGTGTGCTTACTGATACAGAGAAAACAAGCGTTCTCAAGCTTCAGGTATGATTGAATGCTGGCAGTGGATATTTCAGAATATTTTGTTTGTATGTATGTGTGTGTATATATATGTATGTATGTATATGTGTGTATATATATATATATGCAATTTGAAATCCTCTGTAAAATTAGAGCTCCTTTTACATACGACCCATGACTTGTTAGGTTGGAAATTTGTTCGTTTGTTGAAGTTTAATTGACTCGTTTTCCCTTGATTGCTTTCAATTAGGATATATGGGAAAATGGTTTGGTTGTAGAACTAGGAAGTTTATGTTGAAGTGGCAAATTGTGGGAGTTTTTGCCTTTTTTGGTCGGTACATGTTAAAGGAAGGGCTGACTTTGCTACAAATAGAAAAACTTGGGGATTAAGAAATGATATGGTTGTAAGTAAGCACATTCTAGGATGGATGTTTATAGATGAATGAGCATTTGGGGATTGGAGAAAAGTGTCACTTGAAAAATACGCTGGTATTTGTAAAACATATTACCATAGACTGGCTTTAACCTCGAAAAGGGGATAAGTGTAGGGGATCGTACATACAATTTGGAAATTTTTGATATTTAGTGCTGTAATCTCACTGTGTAGGCTAAATTTTGGAAATGTGATGTGCACTTTATAGACTCTTCTGTTGGATTGCAATGAACAATGTATCCTCTATTGTTTCACCTTTCCTTCTTTAAGGTTGGTTTGTTGGGCATGGGACGAACACTCCAAAGGGATCTTAATCGGATTGCTGAAACTGCAGATACTTCTACCGCTGATGGTTTGGGCTATGTTTTGACAGGTGAACCTATATATATTATTATTCATGCACACTCACATAATATAACTGAGCTCTTAGAATTGGTTTTTTGATTATACCAATATTTAGATTTATTACCATACCCATAATGTCAAGTTACTATCTTTTATTACACTGAATGTACAGCTCCTACGTTCTTCTGGCTATGAGTCTTTCTATTCTTATTTATTACTTTAAAGATCAATCGTCTCTCAAAGGATTGATTCTTGGATAGCTTGTTCTGGACTTCCCTATAGGTTCTGCAGAGGCAGGGGAAGAGCGGGTTCAAAGCCCTTCATTATTATTATCTTAATTTTTTATTACTTTCGGTATTCTGATGCAAATTTTAATAAAATTGCAGAGACAACACTAGCTTTGCTACGGCATCCTGATTATTGCATCTCCGGCTATTCATCTGTAAGTTCATATCATCTGTTAGAGTACTTGGTTTCTATCTGGTGTATTGTTGTGGTTGCCCACCATTGTTAGAGAAGGTGGAAACCCCTAGGAAGAGATGATGATAAATCAAAGGAATTCATCTCTCTCTTAAGAGATTTGGCACTATAAAGTATAAGATAGTATATGGCAGTGGCAGCTACTCGTCAGATAACTTAAACAGATTAGGCTAATCTTTTAAGGATTGAAACTTTTGAACTTTGATGTCTTGTGCACATATGCAAAGCTTTCATACAATACCTAATCGTTCTGCCTCTCTTTAGACAAATTGTGGGAGGTGGCTTGATCTATGATGGTGAAACCGTTACTATTGTTTACCATTCTAGAGGGCCGGTGGTATTCTTTAAAAGGATTATAATAATTCAAGGGAACTCTGATACTTAATAAACTAATTGCAAACCAGCGTTGGTCTGGTGGAATAATGTCTGAAGTACAACCAGGATTGGAGTTTTTCTTGTAATTGCTTATGGATGTATCATGTATGGAGCGACACATAAAGTCTAACTTTATAAAAGTATGAGGATAGTGAAGGACATGGATTATAACTTTTGTCATGCTTCTAGGTTGCTCTAAAACGAGGCATAGAGGATGCAGAGAAACACTTTAATCAGCTTTCTATCGAAGAAAGGGGCAAATTTGATGAAGAGACACTTGTCAATGTTAATAACATAAGAAAGCAAAGCTCTACAAGCCGGAGTGCTAATGGATTCCGCAACGAATATATAGTGGTAAGATCAAGTTGGGATAGCCTGTGTTAAACCACATTTCCAGTTTTCAGTGTCAGTTATTCATAGTATACCAAAGGACAAACCTGTGTTGCTTATTCACATGTTAAGCTCTGAACATTCTATTAAAATCAGTGTTTCCATCTAAGCATTATTACCGAGGCCCCGCTGGCCTATCATGGAAGTATTGGTGAATATGAACGTTTGGGAATAGAAATGTTAATATTTGACCTCATTTCTGACTGAACTTCAATCAGATAACAATATTGGTGGCTGCTGAAGGGGTGCATAAGTTGCCTGCCATCAATGGCAGTGGTGACTTAAAGGAAGCGTTGCAAAAGCTTGCCTCCATTCCGTCGAACAAAATAATGGTAACAAAAACATTATACTTACATGGAACTTGTAAAATTATCTTTAAGATCTGTGCTTGATATCTATACGTGTTGTTCTTTTTCCTGCAGGCAGTAGAGGTCTTGTGGACTCCTCAGAATGAAACTGACACTCTGTCGGAGCGGGAACTACTTGAAGACTACCCGCTTTTGAGGCCTTTATGAGAGCACACTCAGGAAACCCTGCACAATCCTGCAAGAGCCACAACTGAACTATCCTTCAAACAGGGTTGTGCTGAATCATTGATGAAGGGCTATTTCATTAAGGTATATCCGCGATGTACAGAAATTATACATGTATAAGAATCAGTGTCTTTTTGAATTATACTTTATACAGAGGCTTCTACAATTAGTGTGGAGTTTCGTTGCGTTAACTACAGTCATTTGCATGTAGAGTGGTTTTGCAAAGGTTTCTAATGGTTTGGTTCAATTAGTGGTTACATCTGGTTAGTTAATAGAACTTGCACAGCTATGATGCGATTGTGGAAGTATCCTGTATCCCAACCCAAGTGAATCACACGCTGCCAATGGTAGGAAAGTTAAAATACATTATAGTACTGATTCGCTTGGGATAGCACCACAATGGCATCCTGGACGTAGGTGACTTTCCTGCATTGGCAACATGTGAATCACTTGGGATACCTCCACAATGGCATCCGGGGCATAGGTAAGTTTCTCTCACATCTAGGCGCAGAACTTTCAAGCACATGGGGTCGTTTATGTGTTGTTTCAAGTCAATCACATACTGCCAATGTGAGGCAGTTAAAACGTGTAGCATTGCACGTTGATTAATTTGAAATACTATCACAGCGGCATCACAAACATAGGTAAGTATCTCTCGGTTAAGAGTAGGAAAAGGACACGTCAAGGGTTGGACTAGGACTAGGCTTTAGAGCTAGTTTCTTCCGTCACGTGTTGTGGAGTTTGTCTAACATTTCCTACCATCTTTGGACGTGGAAACTGCATCACAATGGCACTTTTTATAGGCTTCTTTTTGACCTCTTTCGGTAGTAGCCTGTAGGGTTGGAACTTTGATGGTGATAGGCGGTTGAAGTCGTGGTAGGGGAACCAGGATCCTCTCCTGAGCAATTCCCTAGGGATCCTAGAGATTCTGCAATCTTGTCCGTTCATTTTATATTGTGCGGTCAGTTTTCGTTAGGTACTATTCATATTTGAATTTTAAAATTTAAATTTTAAATGATTTCTGACCGTACGATATATGATGAACAGACAAGATTGTGGGATCCTTAGGGAATTGCTCAGGAGAGGATCCTGGTTCGTGGTAGGGGAGTTTATGGATGGTGCTTTCTTGCAATAAACACTTTTTTAAGTTTTTTTAAAATTCAAAAATATTTCACAAAAAAAGTACAGTCATTTTAAAAATATTTCCAAATAAAACTTTGACTTTTCAGCCGCAAAGTTTAAGGTTCAATGGGCTGAGGTGGTGGGATGAACTGACCTTAGACATTGAACTTGGGTCTAGCCAAGTTGAGCAAGCTACCCTTTGGGTTGAATCCAAGTGGTCCAACTCCAATAATTTTCTTCACGAATGATGCATTCACGATGGTGTTTGTACCAAGTACCAACCCGTGAAGTGGAGGTCATTTTCCGAATCGACCACAAGAAAGGTTGTGTTTTTAGTTAGCACTTTCAAGTTTCAATTTCTAATGACACTCAAACGCTATGTTTTGGCGAAGAAGATCTTAAATTCAAATCTCGTAAACCATAATTACTGATCTATATTAAAAGATTAATAATAAATAAATGAACTCCCAGTCGTGAGGGTGGGTGATGGTTAGGAGTAAGCTAGAGATCTAAAGAATCTGAAGGATCAGAACCCTTCTTTCTGAATAAAAAAATGTAAAAATGGAGCTAATTTCTGCACACATCTTTTCTAAAAAAGTAACTTATTATTTCTTCTTTCTGAATAAAAAAAAAGTTAGTAAAAAGGGAACTAATTTCCGCACACATCTTTTTTTTTTTTTAAATAGCTTATTATTATTTTGAACAAACGATATTATCTAAGTTAAGAGGGAGATGTGGGCTTAGCTCATAATAGTCTAGCAATAATGTAGTTCAAATTCACATTTAGCAAGACCTCTCACTATCAAGGTTCTAAAAAATGCTAGCCGCTAGTTGGGCGGCATGCTAGCGCCTAGCGGCTAGGTGGCGCCTAGGCGGCCTAGGCAGATTTAGGTAAATTTCTTGTATATTTTGTAAAAAAATGCATATTGACATCTAAAAAAAAAACTATACTTGTATGGATAATAAAATAATGATAAAATGCAAATTAGGTACACTTTCCATAAGTATTGGATGAACTTGTAGTAAATCCATCATTTGCAAATTAGATACACCATTTCCATAAGTATACCACCATGAAACCAAAAAAGAAAAAAGCACACAATTAATAAATAAATAAAACCTCCTATGACCGCCTAGCCCGCCTAGGCCCAACCCGATTTTTTTGCGCGATTTGCCCAAAAATGCCTCAGTTGCTAGGCGGCCGCCTAGGACGTTTTTTAGAACACTGCTCACTATATCACTAGACCGCAGTACTAAATGACAAAAGTAACTTATTATTAAATCACATTTTAAACATTCTATGTTGGAGATAGGAATATATTCCAAGTTTTAGTTATCCCAAAAAGGTCCAAATTGATTTTTGTGGGTCTGCAATCCACCTCAAAGTAAGTAAAAACACATGTTTCTTGACTTGAATCCCACTTGGGCAAACTTTACACCACCATCGCATTATTTAAGTGAGAAAAGTGGTAAAGCATGCAACCCTTTCAATCGTTTAAAAGATGGGGAAACTTTGGACAGGGTGGAAGAGATTCTTGTGTCCGATACTCCAATTAGGTACAATGTTTGAACTATTAACAAAAGAATCAGGTTTGGCCGAACAATACCTAAACGCAAATAAGCCAATCTCTTTATGAGTGGGTTGGCTAGTTTGCCTAACAGACTACTTAAGGCTGATTTGGTATTATTGTGCTTTGATAAACAAATGTTCTTGCTGTGCTGTGAGAATGAACTCATTTTTGTTACTTCATGTTTTCAGTTTTTTTTTATCCAAAATTATGAAAATAAGTTGTTTTTAAGTGTTTACCAAAGACCTTTTTTAGCTCAGTTTTTTTTTATAACCATTTTTTTATAAAAGCACCTTAGTGCCAAACCAATACTTAGTCTAGTTATCGAAGACAAGAATTTCTCGTAAAATCTCATGTATTTAGATCACCCTTTACCCCACTTTAAGAGATTCAACTGTTCAAAAGGAAATCATATTTACCCTTGATAACTTTTAAGATTCAGTTTCCATCATAATATTGTCGTTGAGTGGTAATGGTTCTCTTCTTACATGACTCAATTATAAATAAAAAAAATTGAAAACCCCATTGATTGGTTGTTAGGGAAGGGTCGTGTGCATGTGGCTATCGTGTCTAGAGTACGGAATTGAAATTCTTTCCAAATCTTTGTGTTCGGAGTTCAAGAATCAAGATTGGAATTATTGATTTTTAATTTTATGGCATTTATTAGTCTATCTCACACAAATTAAGAATTTGAACTTCTCACTTCAACAACTCGAATCTTCTAATTCTTAAGTTCTAGACACAAAAATTCGGAGAGAATCTCAATTCTAAAAGAGTCAAATTACCAAAAAGTTTGTTAGATTTGTTGTCATCAATATCTATTTTTTAAAGCTTAAAAAGTTGTGATTCTGATTAGTACAATCTGAACCGTGTGATCAAACTGCTTTTATCTTGATTATGATATATATCATAGATTTCACCCACCTACATCATGTTCGAATCCTTTCCTTCTAATCTAGTAAATTCGGAAATCCAGATCGTTGAAATTTGATCTAATATCTAAAGTTATTATAATTTTTAAAGTGGGGCTCTTATTTGTAGCCGTTTGGTCAAATTTCAACAACCCCGAATCCCCAAACTTAATGAATTAGCCCTACATACAATCCCATGTGGATTTTCCCATAATGTTATGGAATCAAAAACCTTTTGAGTTGGTCTCAATTCAACACCCAACCAAGCCACCAATGCAAATTATGCAATATAAAAATAAACAAAAAGACTAGTTGGCCTCCACTTTGCTACCCACTTTTAGGGTACGTTTGGTACGCAGACGGGACGGGACGGGACGGGACGGAACGAATGTGTCATTTTTGAAAAAGACATGGGGTATATTTGTCTTAAAATGGTAAAACATTGTGTTCCACATACGTGGAACAAACCCGTTCCAGGGGGGGAGGTGGAACGCAAAAACACCCAAAATCTGTCCCGTGGAACAGCCCGTTCCACCCATTTTTGGCGCACCAAACGCGGGACGGAACGCCTCGTCCCGTTCCGTCCCGTCCCGTCTCGCGTACCAAACGCACCCTTACCGAACCCAAAAAAAGGAAAAGTATCATTATTCATACTTATTTATCAATTACAATTCTATACGTGTGGAAAATCTTTTTTTTTTTTTTGTTGATAAATTATTTATGCATATGCGTCAACTTGTAATGTACGAAAATAAGAAACAACAACTCAGTACGGAATGGGGCTAGTCAAATGATATTTTACAATAAAAGTTACATGATTTAGGTTAAGTCATAAAATCCAATTCGCTACCTATGAGAGCCGTAAGCGGAGAGTATACCAATAATACTAAAGTCGATTTTTCGAGTTAAATTAAAGAACTTTAACATAAAAGTGAGTACAACTTTTGGTACAAGATATGGTTTGGTGGTTTGATATGTGATTTAGATTAGCTTAGATGTCTTTTTCAAGGGAAGTTGGTATGTGGACCAATGGACCATCCCATATTAAAGGAGCCAATATTTTTTGGGTGATAAAATATGGGCAACCGGATTGTACGTTAAGAGTTCAAATCGTCTTCGAATTTCAGAGTCTTAAGCCGATGAACCGGTTAAGTTGAATCGTTCAAGACAGGGAGAAAGCCATCCAAACTCTTAATTTTTGTGAGGTTGGTTAATGAGATGAGTTAATGATGATTGTAAAATTTAAAATAAGTGATCTGAAATACTCGATCCATTGAGTCTAGACTACAAGAAAAGAATCTCGATTCCTAAGCTAAGTAGATGAGCATGCATGGAATGGAACATGGGGAACCGGATCCAAAAGAACTAAGTCCACTCATCAGATGATCTGGACCATTAAAATTTGATCTAACGGCTACAAACAAAGGATCCTCTAAAAGTTATAATAATTGTAACCGTTAAATCAAATTTCAATGGTCTGGATCATTTAATCCTTGAACTCAGTTCCTTTGGGTCCGGAGGGGATCCGGTTCCGAAGCATGGAACATGAAAGATGATTTATTTGTTCTTGTGGGGGCCAAACAATTGAAGAAAAAAAAAACCCTCACTC